ATCATCCATGATTTATATCGAACCTCTATAAAATTATGATGACATAATGTATTAATTAACTAAGTTAGGTAAATAAACTTGCAAAAATATTACTTTACCTCGAGATTATCCAACAAACCAATCACAACTTCTTATAAATATTAAAAATTCATTATCATTTATCAACATCCATACAAATTAAAATATATAAATTTACAGAGAAATTACCACTCCACAATACCATTGACAAAACTTTAAATGGACCCAATAAGTAAGCTATTAATTATCCCGACTGAATTATGGATGTAATATAACCGTCGGTAATTTCAACCTCAAATTACCGACAGAAATATTTCGTCGGTAAATCCGTTGCTATTTAGCGAATTTCTGGTAGTGAATCTTGAGGCTCCAACTGCATTCGTGAAGTTGGCAAACATTTAGCCAAAACTTGCTCGCCTCATGAAGCCCATAGAAAAGTAGAAGAAATCATATTAACTTACAGCAATCAAATTGCTACATAGCCTTTCTTAATCATTGAAGAGTTGTTGAAGCTCTAGTAAAACAGACATGTCAACAAGTATAGGAAGGCTCATGACACGTTTGTTCCATGATTTTTTTTATCATCTACTTTTAATGGTGATTTAGGATATCAATAAACCAATTATAGAAGAACTATTGATGAATTTTTAGTTAGTTTCTTATTGATGACATCACTAATGATGTACAAAAAAATTCAAATAGCTTAAGGGAAAGGCTTAGGTCTTAAATAATTAGTTAATCTTTTTTATGAAAATTTGATTTATTCTTCTTAGCCAAGGTGATTGGTGTTTGATACCTACAAAAGATCTTCTTTAGTGAATTTAAAGACTTTCCTATACTTAAGTAAGTATCATTTTTAGAGAAAAGAAAATAATATTTTATATAGAGACTTTGAAAATAAATATACATTAGAGAATAGATATTCGAAATCTCTTCTTCTAATGATTTAATGAGTATTTATATCCTATTCTTCTTACCTTTTTTATTACGAGAATGGCTTAAAAGTCTTTTTTTTTTTTTTAGATAGCATTTAACCTTTATTTTCAAAGAGAAAAATATTTGTCAAAATAAAAATATCTCTAAATCTATTAAAGAGAAAACATCTCTAACTTTATTGAAAAAGAAATATCTTTGAAAATATCAACCCTAATTTTTAAAAATAAAAATATCTCTAACTTTGTTCAAATAAAGATATCTCTAACTCTATTAAAGAAAAAACATCTCTGACTTTATTACAAATATCTTAGTATATGTGTGGGCTCGATGTTTAGTTGAACCTATTGATATTGGGTCTAGTAGATCGCAGGATTCATATATATTTGGGCTTAGTGCTTGGCTCAGCTCAAGGATGATTGGTTTAGTAGTTCACCAGACTTGTATATATTTAGGCTTGGTGCTTGGTGGAGCCCAATAATATTGGGTTTGGTAGTTCACCAGACCCATATATACTTGGACTCGGTGCTTGGCTAAGCACCATGATGTTAAGTTATCACCTAGTCTTTAGTTCGTTTAAACGAGGATCCAAAGAAAATAAAAATAGAAATAGAAATAGAAATAAAAAAAATGTTGATCCATCATCAAGAATAAATACTTTCTACAAAAAATAAATACTTAAAAATGATGTGTTTGTATAATTTTTTCTTAGAATTACTTAAATTTAAATTGATATTATAGAAATTTTTTGTTCCTTAATTTGATTTTTTCTCCAATTGTATTATTTGTGTTGATTAAATTTTATTTGAATAGTTAATTATATTTAAAAAGATTTTTATCAGTTTTTCATCTTGAATTTGATGAATTAAATCATGATTTTGATGAATAATTAATTCTGAATGTGATGTAAAACATATGAATTAGTAACATAGAAATAAAGGATTTGATTTGAGAGTTTAAAAGAGAAAGAGGTATATATAAAAAGATTTAAAATAAAGTGAAAAATAAAAACGAAAACAAAAATAAAAATGCTTATTGATTGTCAGGGAGGAAGATGAAGATCTATTTGGAGACGAATGCATGTTTGTTATTGTGTGTGACAATTCTTTTCTAAAAAATATTTGCTTAATTTTTTTATTTTTTTAGATCATATTAATATGCTGATGTACAAAAATAAAATTTTTAAAATATATTATTCTTATTTTCCTTTATGCCTATTAATCAAATATTTTTTAATATTATAAGATTGCTTTGTTAAATCAACAAACCAGCAATAATGCTAACTGTATTTATTCTTAAAAAAAAATGTATTTTGAGAATCTTGAAATGATAATTGTGTATGTTAACTTGCACAATAAACTATTAAAATCTAGACAGTATGACTCAAATGCTTGCCATTAGATTTATGATTTATAAGGGTTATTAGGTTGGCTTGTATACAACTTTTTTTATGTGTTCATGATCAAGTATTTGTTGTGTGTTTTTGTTAAATAGCTACTTAAATCATTGAATGCAATGTATTTGTCAATATAAATATAGATATCATTTATTTTTATCTTGTGTTCAAACCGTATATCAATGTAAATGTAGAAATAAATACAAATTAACAAGGTAATAGTATATTTTGATGTATTTAAAACTAAGCTCAAATTGATGTAGAAAAGTACAGGAAAAGATAGTTGAGAAACAGCTTTCATTATAATCATAATGTAATACAAGGGATCAAGAGTCAATTCATTAAACTCATGACCTCTAATAAAATTGAAATAACCTTATACAAAGAAAAAAAATATATTATTTGACATAAAGTTAATCTATCAATTATATGACTCTAATCATAAGACTAAGATAACCTCACAAAGAGAAAAACAAAACAATTATAAAAGCTCAATTCCTAATTGACCTTGTCAGATACAATGTTGAATAATAAAGTTTATAAAATTTTTAAGTAAAAAATGATACAAAAAATAAGTCAAGTCAACCTGGGTTAACTCATTAAATATTATTATCGGGTCATGAGATTTAGATAACTTAATAAAAAGCAAACTGGAATAAATCATGAAGTTTATTTATTAATCAAACATAATATTAAATGATGAAATTAAAAAAAAATATCAATTAAAATAATAAGACAATTGGATTATCCTGTTAAACCTGCTACTAAGGTCATGAGACACAGACAACCTAATAAAAAATATTCAATGTTGAAAAACTTATAAGACAAAAATAATCTCCTAGAAAGAAACTGAAAAAATAACCAGATTTAACTAGGGCTAAAATATCAAAACATGTGGCCCTTATCATGAAACTAATATATTCTCGTAGAAAGCAAATAAAACAAATTATGAAACTCAATCTCCAAACAATCCAATAGTGAATGATGAAATTGATAAAAAAAAAATCAACTTAAAAAATAACATAAAAACAACTCAAATTAACTTAGGTTAACTCATTAAGCACTATTCTTAGATATTAATAGCTAAAATAACTTAATAAAAAGAAAATAAAACAAATTATAAAACTTAATCACAATCAACTCGATATTAAAAGATTATATAGAAAAAAAAATTAATTAAATAAAAGAAAAAAACACGAATCAACTGGATTAACAGACTAAACCTATAATTTATATCATAAAATTAGTATAATCTAATATAAAAAATTCAATATTAATGTGTTGAATCAATGCTTATATATATTTAACCCATTATTAAAAGAGCGACATTAAAAAAATAATTAAAAAAATAAGTTTATATTAACTCATTAAATTCATGATTCATATCATGTGAGTGAAATAATCCAATGAAAAATAAATTAAATATTTAAAAAAAATTAATTAAAAAAAAAACAAGGTATTATTGTAATAAATAATATTTTATAAAAAAGAGTATATAACTCCTTCTCTTTTAATTTTTTTTTGTTAATATATATTTTAATTTTAAAAATATATAAATTTATTATGACTAACTGCTCCACCTATTAGAAAGCTCGAATATAAAATTAAGAGTTTTAGTCATGATGTTATCACTTCCTGTGAGCACCCAAATTAACATGATGCTTTTACTTAGAATTCAAAAAATAAGTTGCCAGATAATCTTTGAGGATTTCAATGCGTATTCACGGGTTGAATTTTTTTTATAATTATATTTATTATTTATTAAATAAAAATTTTAAATATTTATAAACTAATAATTGGATTTTAAGTATTCATTATCTACTATTATTTATTAATTAATAAAAATAGTAATAGATATATTTGAAGTATATATAAATATATTAAATAATAAAATAATAAATATTACTTATTTTATGTTAATATATTTAAATAGAGTATAACTATATTGCATTAAAAAAATTAAATCCTCTAAAAATATATTTATATAAAATAAATATATATTTCAAATTAAATTCAGACAAGTTTTAAGTAGGACTTAAAATAGATATACTCTATTTATTATCTATCGAGTTTAAAAAAATATTCATATATCCAGATTGGATAACCTATTTATTAATAATCAATGAATTTATACTATGAAAGAGAGTAGGTAAAAATTTTGAATGTTTGGATATTGCCTTAAAAAAATATATATAAGGACATAATTTTAGTTTAATTTCTATAAAATATAATTTAATTTTACATGTTACACACTATTTTAGTTTAATTTCTATGAAATATAATTTAATTTTACATGTTATCTCACACTTTTACATATAAAAAATAGCTATATGATAGAAAAATTGATGGTTTATCTAAATTTAAAATTACTTTAATGTGCATTAGACGCAGACAACAACGTAGATGCAAATTATCATAATACTGTTTAAGCTTATGTCCACTTTAAAAGGCTTGTTTTTGTAACATATTCAAATAAATACATTAATAAATTTAGCTTATTTATTTATTTCCATGGAAGATTATATTAGAACTGTCCTTATTCCGAATAAAATAAATAAATAACTAGTTGCAAATTGTGAGAGAGATTGGCTTCCCTCTTCTTTGAAAAACAATAGGAGGACACCCATGGGTCCCCACCAACCAGGACCGCCAGAAAGTCCCCAACCCTTCCCTTTCCGCCCACCATCCACCCCTGACCCCACTACACCTTTCACTGGACCTCAAGGCCAGCCACCACCTCCACCGCCACCAATGAAGAGCGACGCATCCTTTGCCCACTCTCTCATTGGTTCCCTCCCTCTCCAATGCCCTTCCTCTCTCCTCCACCAAAACTCTCCAGTCTCTAAGAACTTCACTCAAATCCCACCACACGTCACATCGCTAAAAATCTTCCCTGCATAACCCAACCCTTCGCTAACATCTCCAATCAATCCCAGCTCACACAGGCAGTCTCTTCTCTTCAGATTTTATCATGCAAAGGCATTCATTTGCCTTACACAACAATGTGCAAATTGCAAGTCTCTTAAGTTAGGGAAATGGGTTCATATTCATTTGAAACTAATTGGACGAAAAAGACCCAGTTCGTTTTTATACAATAATTTGATTCATATGCATGTACAGTGCGGTGATCATGTTAGTGCTTATAAGTTGTTTGATGAGATGACCGCAAGAAATTTGTACTCTTGAAATAATATGCTTTCCAGGTATGCTAAATCAGGCATGACAAATCTAGCTAGGAAGTTGTTTGATAAAATGCCTAAGAGAAATGTTGTTTCCTGGAATACTATGGTTATTGGGTAAGGCGAAGCCCCTTTTTTGGTGAAGGTTTAAGGTTTTATAAGGAGTTAAGGAGATTAGGGATTGGTTATAACGAGTATAGTTTTGCGGGTTATTGAGTGTTTATGTTAAGTTTTAGGAATTGGTACTTGTTAAACAGGGTCATGGGCCGCTGGATTTTTGTGTAAGATGGTGATTTCAAGCCTGGTTGCTGACGCATACGCAAATTGTGGAGAGATGAGTGATGCTACGAGGTTGTTTGATGGGATGAATGTGAAGGATGTTCTTGCAAGGACAACGATGGTTTTGGGGTATGCACAATGCGGGGACATGGTGGTGGCTAGGGTATTGTTCAATTTGACGCCTAACGAGAATTCAGTCGCGTGGACAGCTTTGATTTCTGGGTATGTTAGGCGTGGTTTGGTGTACAACGCACCTGAGTTGTGTATGAATATGATAGTGTTAGGCATTAGACGGAATCGACTTACTTTTATTAGCATTCCTTGCGCTTGTGCCAGTATAGCTTCGGTTAACCTTGGTAAGCAAATAGATGGTTACTTGATAAGAACAAATGTTAGACCTAATACAATTGTTGTGAGTTCTCTTATTGACATGTATTCCAAATGTGGAAGTTCGGAAGTTGCGAGGCTGGTTTTTTATCTTATGGGTAATAAGCAAGGTGTTGTCTTGTGTAACCCCATGATTTATGCTTTGGCACAACATGATCACAGTGAAGAAGCTATTCAGATGTTTGATGACATGGTGGGAAATGGATTAAGACCAGATAAGATGACATTGGTTGTCATTTTCAATGCATGCAGTCATGCGGGTCTTGTGGAGGAAGGGTTTAGGTTACTTGAATCCATGACTGGGGGTAATGTCATTTTTCCCAATCAAGAACATTATGCTCGCTTGATTGATCTCTTGGGTCAGGCACGGCGTTTTGACAAGTTGATGGGAGAACATGCACTGCAAGATCAATGAACAGAGATTTGGAATGCTTTAATTAGCGTTTGTGGAATCCATGGGAACATTTAGTTTGGGAAAAAAGTAGCTGAACAACATATAGAGTTGGAGCCACAGTCCCCTGCAGCTTATATGCTGCTATCAAATGTATAGGCTGAACTTGGGAGATTGGACCTGGTAGAGAAGGTCAGGCAGCTTATGTATGATTGAGAGACATGCAAGAAAGGAGCCGAGCTCTTAGTCGGATAGAGATTGAAAATACAGTGCATGCTTTCACTGTCTCGGATAGGTTACACCCTTTGAAAGAAGTAATATATTCATTCTTGGAACAATTAGTTGGCTGGATGGAAGAGGAAGTTTCATCACCTCTTGCTGAAAGGTAGAAGGTTTTCATCTTTACTTCTGCCGGGCAATATTGATGGATACCTACATAAGTTGTATTTTTGGTACAATTTTCCCGAACTTGTAACATTTTTTTTCTACTCCATTGAGGAGGTCTTTTAGTGTTGAAAGTTGTATTCACATCTCATAGAATTGAATGTCCACATCGTTACATCTCCGGAATTTCTTTCAGTAATTAGATAGGAAAATCATTGTTTGAATAACACCGTATCAAATAAAACTGATACAGAGATAATTGTTTGCAATCATTTTCCATGTTGTGGTATTTGATTACTTTGTAACGTACAATAATTGTTTGTGCTTTGTGGCTATGGAGGCTTTTACTGCCTTGATCGAATAAACGCATATAGGTTGCAGGTATTTTCTCTTGTGAAACTTCTGATATCACGAAAGTTATTATTTGCTCAGCTCAATTCATCATCAGTCCATCATAAAGTATTTTGAATGTGTTGGGGCTGTGGTTAAGGACTTCAGATACATGATACAATCCATATCGAATCATTCAATCTCTTAGCTGCTTCATCAGTCGGGATTTTCTCGATTTTAGATGTTCTTATTGCTTGAGTGAAATCGGCACAGTTTTTCTGTTCTGGCAAGTTCATCAATATTCCATCGATTGATTTTCAAAGGAACTACAGAAGTTAGGTCAGTGGAATTGACTCTGAAGACAGAAGAGGAGGAAGAACAAGTTAGATATTACGCCTAATTATTGTTGTATATAACTTCAAACACTGACCACTTACCTTTCTTGATTTCATAGAAATACGTCTAAACTATCTTACAATGCGTTTGATTTCCATGAAGTCCATTGCCTAGTGATGTCCTCGCTGCAATGCAAGAGTTCTCTTTCATGATGAACGTGTGTGAAATCATGATTTTTTGCATTTTATATCCGCAGTAACATGATTCAATGGATGCCAATGAGGTTGTGGTTCGACTGGTACTCATACCCCCTACTATCTTAAGAGGGGAGCTTCTTCTTTATAACTAGAAAAAAAAGGTATATATATATGATTCAATGGATGCTGCCTGCCTTTGGCCCTCGTACTCATGTTCCACATCTCCAATTCAGACACGAGATTAACCATTTTCTACCGGTAGGAGGGAGCTTGCGTCTTATGACTGCCTTTGAATCATTGTGGCTTGGTCCCTGGATACTAAATGCACATGGCGGGCCCCATTAAACCTCAAGGTTCAAGATCCACGGAAATTTCTTGCTTATCTATTCGAGTAGAGACATTAATCATCATCTCTTGAGGGCCTCTTAAGTCTCGAGATAGACTTTCAAGACCTCTTTTTTTTTTTTTAATAATATTCGGGACATCTTTTGTGAGTTTTCATATATCGAGATTTCGCCCTTCTCTAATCATCTTCTAAGTGGATTGATCGCATTTTAAAGCATTTACATAACTTTTCTTAATATATATTGGAATTTAAACGTGAAATGTTACCATTGGAAGATATCAACCCTATCCAGTTATCTCAAGGATGCCTTTCAGCTCGTTTACTAGTATCACCATGTGCGCTCGGGAGCTGATATCTGTTTTATGAGTTTTTTCATGCATAACACATGTTAGTTTTTATATTCCTTCGTCGACTGTTTCTTTTCTTTTTGCAGTTGTTGTAACTTGTAAGCTGTAGCTATCTGGTTGCTCGATCTCTGTCCAGCCAAGTGTTAACTGGTCAATGAGAAGATAGGGATGGGAAGATACTTAGGTATGGGCATCACTGATGAGGTACAATACTATCAATGTGAGGAAGTTGCTGGGAAAAAAAAAGTGAAGAAAACAGCTATTGATTGATTAAGAAGACCTTGATCCATGACTTTTTTTAATGGGGAAGACCTTTATCCAAGATTTTTAATCAAGAGATGGCCCCCTCCATCTTTTATAAAGGTCATGGAAGAGGACAATTACCTTGAATTATGGACATGATTAAGTGGTTAAACCACAGTTTGAAAAGTTCATTAGGGTAAATAACCATGTGAAAGGAGCTGTAGTTTTTGCTGCCATGTTGCAGTTTATCAAGGGCAAAGCCTTTATTACCATGGTGGATTTGACACATGTTTTGCGTAAGGCAGGTGGGCGAAGCTGCACAGAACCAGCAAGCCTCAAAATCGTTTTGGACAGCCACACATGTGGACCAACCCAGGAAACCTATCTGGATTATAAATCTACACCAATAATGCAAGCAAGGCAACCAACTAAACCATAAGAAACAAAGCATGTCCTTGTCATAATCAAGATTATTGCGGGAAAAAAGGAAAATTCTCTGGAGGGAAAGAAATGGGCTTCCTAATCTGTTTTTATAATCTCAGAAGTATTTACTGTATAGTAATTACTTCCAATTAACGTTACAATGCTGTGTATTAAAACCCACAAACCAATTCTTTTTCTGTGCAATAAAGCCTGCCCACCTACCTACAGCCAGAGAAGCCAAGGAAAAGGAAGAACTCAACGTTCTTCTTCTTCTTCCTGACATAAGAAAAAATGGGTTCTCAGGTCTCTAAACAGTTGGAAAAGCGTAAAGCAATCTCAACAGAGAAGAAAGCTCTCGTTGATCTTGAAGGGAGCTCTGGAGAAACGTATCCTGGTTCTGATTATCGCCCTTCTGACAGGAAGAATTGGATGGCTGGGCTCAACCCAGAGAAGCTTCACATAAACCAAATTGTATGGCCTGGAACCCATGATTCTGCTACCAACAAGATTGGCATCCCAATGATTACTCGACCTTTCGCTCAATGCCAGTCTTTGTCCATCTACCGTCAGCTTTGTGTAGGCACCAGAGTCCTTGATGTTAGGGTTCAGGAAGATCGTCGCGTCTGCCATGGAATCTTGACAACATATAGTGTTGATGTTGTTATCCAAGAACTCAAGAAATTCTTGTCAGAAACTCAGTCAGAGATCGTAATTCTTGAGATCAGGACGGAGTTTGGTCATGATGATCCTCCAGAATTTGACAAGTACTTGGAAGAACAACTTGGAGAATATCTGATCCATCAGGATGATAATGTTTTTGGCAAGACAATTGCAGAATTGTTGCCAAAGAGGGTAATTTGTGTATGGAAGCCAAGGAAATCACCAGCTCCGAAACACGGAAGCCCGCTGTGGAGCGCCGGATATTTGAAAGATAACTGGATTGACACAGATCTGCCATCAACCAAATTTGAAAGTAACATGAAGCATTTAAGTGAGCAACCACCAGTATCGTCAAGGAAATTCTTTTATAGAGTGGAAAATACTGTTACACCACAAGCAGATAATCCAATTGTGTGTGTTAAACCTGTGACAAACCGGATTCATGGATACGCTAGGCTGTTCATAACACAGTGCGTATCAAAGGGCTGTGCTGATAAGTTGCAGATCTTCTCTACAGATTTTATTGATGCGGATTTTGTTGAAGCATGTGTTGGATTAACACAGGCAAGGGTTGAAGGGAAGGCTTAATTTGTCTAATCTTCCGGATTTCTTGTTCTCATTTTAGACATTTTTATTATGAGCCAATATCTCATGTGATTAGTTTCTGGGTGGAAGAAGTGCTCCATTATCCTTAATGGGGCAGACTGTTCATTTGTCTGTATGTATGCTAAATTATTTGTTTGTGATGTATAAAGGATTTGTATGTTGGTGCTGGAAGATTCTGATCGGCACACATTTGTTTTTGTTCTTTCCAGCATTGCTCTTTTACCTTTTAAAACCTGCCTACCTACTGTTGCGATTTGATGAATTCAGCCTTTGATATTGCCCATCACAGCTTCACATGTAGAAACTAACTTGATAAGATGATGAAAGTAGAGGGTTTTCAATCCTGAATGGTTTAGTTTAACTATTAAATTTTAAATTTATTTTTAAAAGATTGTTAATTTAAGTATTATAAAATTTCTTAAAAATTTATATAATTATTAATTTTAAGAACTTATAAATTAGTTAATATACATGTATTATTATTATAAAATAAACATAGAAATAGAGGATTTTCAAATCATTAAGGAAAACAAGCTATTATAACTTCATAAGATGATTTTGGTTCACATACCAAGCTGGTCTTATCCAGGCTCAATTTGCTGAAAAGAGATGGGAGGCTTTGAAAAGAGATGGGAGGCTTTGTTGCTCCACTTGTTATCATCACATGTTCTTATCTAAGCTCAAATTGCTAAAAAGAAAAACTTCTCATGAATAATCAACATCTGGTTGGCCTAAAACCTGAGAAAAAAAAATTGGTTTCATTTTATGATAATTTATCAGAAAAGACCCTAATTGTTTTAAAAAACCTTCTCCAGGAGGTGGTACATGCTATATGCTTGCATTTCCATGTGCATGTAAACTAATAATATTATTAGAAGGAAATATGCATATTTTGATGTATAAAATATATTTTAACAAAAAAATTAATAAAAAATTATAGTTTTTTTATATGAATTGATCGATTAATTAGGCTAAAAAATTGATAGCGAGGCTACTATCCCTTCCAATGACAAATTTCCTAACATTCAAATCCAACAAAAAAAAAATATTTACCTTGTTAATCTCACTTTTAATTTAACTAATCATTTTAGAGAATAAAAAATTTTATAATTTGAACAAAGTTTCACATCTATAAAAACTATACTTACAATTTTATCCTGCTTTAAAAACCTTGCAAAGAACCACAATAACCAAACTCAACAAGTTCTCACCAAACTCAACAAATTCTCATGTATCATAATCACAAGTAGTTTCAAGAATAAAAACAATATTTACATGCAAAATAAATTTGAAATACTTTAATAATATAATATTCTAGTTATTAAAATCCAAAATATATAAACATAACTCATCTATTTATCTACACTATCTATTTGATGATTCGAGCTCATTAATAGCTCAAATAGATCCAAATATTGCATCTGTCTGAGCGGCCTCCTCATCTACCATGACATCATCAAAAGTTAATCTCTCTCTCTAAAGGTATCAAATCCAGTGTGGCAAACAATTAACCACTAGGACGCATACATGTAACTTTTATTTTCTTTATCAATATTACGAAGCATGGATGTGGTCTTTCGACCTTCCCATAGCAAGAAACCAATCTAATATTAATAAAACACTCATGACAAATTACAAAATCAATTCATAAAACTCAATTTTCAACATATATTAATTATACAAGACTTAATTACTTACGTGTTTTGAATATGTTGTGCATGTTGCTCATACTGCATTTATCTAATTAGAAGAACCTAATCGAGATCCAGAATAATGACCTGACATGTGATATTCATGTACCAAATCAAATACTCTTCATCTCTAATCACATGATGTATATCTCAAAATATCACCTTCATTCGTGCATTTCATTGTGATAAATAAGCTCCATGGCAG